TTAGGGCGCGCAGCTCGTAATCTGAGGGTCGCGGGTTCGAATCCCCGTCACACCAAACATGCCAACCTTGGCCTTTGCCTGGTCTCAAGTCCAGGATGAGAAATGAGGAGAGTTGGGCTAGCAACTCCACCCCGTAAAAACCAACCTGCTACAAGTAACTGCAACAAAAACTTCCGTTGGGAGGTGTTGTTGCGGCCCTATGCTCCACTGGATGTTTACAGGAATAAAAAAAAACACCAACGAACGGAGATCTGTATGTGTCTTTTGGTGTGTTTATGATCTGGGGGGTGGGTCAGGTACAGGGATGACTTCTTTCCCCCTTCAGGACAGTAGATTGATTTTTATTTAACTTTTTGTTTTATTTTCGGGAAAATACTAATGTTATTACTGCATGAGGGTCAGTGTTTGTACCCGGAACTACGACCGAGTATTCCTTTTGACCCCTTTCCTTGGGCCATGTCCATGAAAGTAACACTGTTAACATTTAATTTCTTATTATCATTTCACTTATGTTAGGTTTGTGCGAAATTCACGAACAATTCCGTTGATAATCACACAATATTTACTAGTTGAATCCACCAGGAGTGTATTGTACATATAAAAACCCTTTTTAATACACATAATAATTTAATCTAACGATATTATTACATGTTAGCTGTAGGTGGTAATCTAACGATATTATTACATGTTAGCTGTAGGTGGTAATCTAACGATATTATTACATGTTAGCTGTAGGTGATAATCTAATGATATTATTACATGTTAGCTGTTGGTGGTAATCTAACGATATTATTACATGTTAGCTGTTGGTGGTAATCTAACGATATTATTACATGTTAGCTGTAGGTGGTGATCTAACGATATTATTACATGTTAGCTGTTGGTGGTAATCTAACGATATTATTACATGTTAGCTGTAGGTGGTAATCTAACGATATTATTACATGTTAGCTGTAGGTGGTAATCTAACGATATTATTACATGTTAGCTGTAGGTGATAATCTAATGATATTATTACATGTTAGCTGTAGGTGGTAATCTAACGATATTATTACATGTTAGCTGTAGGTGGCTTGTTCTTAAACTAATAGTAGATATTTATTGGGGAGAGTTATGTAGGATTGTTTCCATCACGTATGCGATAGCGGCCTTTTTCGCATAGAAGCTCGTTTTTAAACAGATTTTTATGGACGTATTTTAGGGTTCTATGAAGGAATCTGTCAGGTAGTGGTTGTACATTACGTAAGAAAGCTGACGACGTTGATCTTGGTAATTTAAAGGCTGTAGTTAAGAGAGAGTTTTGTATTTTTTGTAATTTACTTTTGATCTGTGTGGATGTAACATTAATCCATGCTGGACATGCGTATTCTACGATACGTCGTGTATATTTCTATAATGTTTTTAGCTGACGTTCCTTTATTTTTACCTGACAAACTACTAGCATAACTTACGTGTTGCCAATCTCTATTTCTAATTCCATTTCTATGCTTGGAATCAAGGGTCAGTCCTAGAAATTATGTAGTTGTGGCCGTCTGGAGCAGATTTCAGTGTAAGTAAATCTCGGGTGGATGTATACTGGTTTTGGTTGGTTTGGTGAACAGCACTATTTGTGTTTTGGGAACATTTATTTATATTTTATAGTTTTGACAGTATTCCAATATTCTGCGTAACAGTAGTTGTATATTCGTAGCTGCTATAGGGGGTATAGGGGAACTCTTCCAAACTGCTATTGCGAGATGAAGCCTGCATTTGAGTCATTAAGAAGCATATTGTCAAAATACGTGATGAAGAGTATGGGACTAACCATCCCTCCCTGGGGGTCACCTGCCTCGGGAGTAAAATACTCTGAGTAGGTGCCCTCTACGTTTACTCTACATATTATTTTTCCAGAAAGTTCGACAACCAGCGAATAATATCTCACGGTAGTTCCATTTCTGACATGTGAAACCTGGGATCATTGTGCCATATAGCGTTAAAAGATTTCTCCACATCGAGAAAGCAGGCGACAGTGCATTTATTTTTATTAAAACTATCTACTATTGTTTAGATTACTCTAACTAGATTGTCAGAAATTTCCTGAATCCTTTTTTTACTACTAATAAATTAGAAGTGACTTCCAGAAATGTGAATAGTCTCTTGTGAGTCATGTGTTCTAAAATTTTGCTTATACAGCTGGTCAGGTTGATCGGACGGTAGCTGTCCGGTTTATTGACTGTTTTTCCCTCCTTATGGAACATTAAAATATTTGCTTGCTTCCAAGAGGGCCGGGATGTATCCAGAGTTTAATGATAGACTGAATAGTGCTCTTAGATGTTCAACTAATCTCTGAGTACCTTTATCGAAGAGAATGACCTGAACGACATCTTTCCCGTTGGCGTGAAAACTTTTGTTACTCAGTAAGCAGAGTGTTTGTCCTCTTGTTCAGGTGTGTTTGTAGCATTTGTCACTAGTGCTTGTGAGGAATTGGGGTTTGTAGTTATTATATTTTGTGCAAAGTGCTCGTAAACTTGATCACAGAAATACGTGTTAATGTCTAGGTCATTTGGTGTCTTGAAAATGTTTTGTAAGTGTGTTCTGAAAGTCTCTTCTTTCTCTCTATTTGTGTGTGCTAGTTTGTTGGTTGTAGCTAGTATTAGATATGGAATATTTCTTGTGTCTGCTCTTATGAATCGTTTTAGGTGAGTCCGGAATTGTTGAGGGTCCGTGTGGTTGTTGAATTCGCTGCTAAAGTCGTCCCAGCTTGCTTTTATTTTGTTGTTTGATTTCATTTCTTATTCTGCTGCTTAGTGATTTGAATTTTTATTTGGGGATCCCCAGTGTTCACGTATAATCTTCGGAGTTATCGACGCTCTTTTATGTTATTTGAGTTGTGTGTATGGGGGTGGGTGGGTGCCATGTTTGTTTAATGTGTGTTTAGGAATTGAATTATTTGCTGAACTTATGAGGCACTCCGTGTTTATTTGACTATATTGTGACGGTCCCTGGTACAATATCTATTATTTGAAGTATGTGTTGATGTGACATCATTTATAATCTTCGAAGTTATCGACGCTCTTTTATGTTATTTGAGTTGTGTGTATGGGGGTGGGTGGGTGCCATGTTTGTTTAATGTGTGTTTAGGAATTGAATTATTTGCTGAACTTATGAGGCACTCCGTGTTTATTTGATTATATTGTGACGGTCCCTGAGCACAATCTATAATGTTCCATAATCGGTCCAGTTTGCTATTTTTTATTTTTTTTTGTAATTGAATATTGTTGTACAGACCGGTCTGTCTTTGTGGGGAGAGGGGGAACGAGATAGAAGACACACCAGACTGGTAGGTGGTCACTATCTAAATCAAAACCTGCATTTAAGGATAAACACTTATGACTAATTTCTGACGAACTCAGACAGAGATCCAGAACATAACTGGTACAATATCTATTATTTGAAGTATGTGTTGATGTGACATCATTTATAATAATACAGTCGACATTGCCAATAAAGTCCAGTAGTTTACGACCATCAGTGTTTGTAGTTTTGCATCCAAATACCACACCTTACTGTATAGATCTCCTATTAGAAAATGTTTTATTATGTTGATAAATATCCTCTAGCATGGTTGTATCCAAGGTTCTATTTGGGAAACAATATGTATAGCAGTTATCTGCTGCGTGATTATTATTACTTGTTAGGTATATATCTATTCATGACTCGTCGTTATATTTACGTCTTTAACTGATAATGACGAGCTGTAGAACAAGGCTACACCTCGACTTGGATCTGCAAGATTAGGGCCTTGATACGGTAATGCTCATTGGAGTGTGAACATTTCTTGATACACAAGAGAAGGCAGTATATTTTTGTAAAAGCAATGATAATTAAGCGGTTCAATATCTATGTCAAATTTAGTGTATTATCCATATTTCTGCTTACAAACTTCTTATAATAATCAAACTTAGTGATTGGTACGTGTCTGATTTATCGTGGGTCTGTTTTTATTTTTGTTTTAATGTAGGCTTAACCTAAAGACAGCTTACTGGGCTACCAGTATCTAACTCGTGGATTGGAGAAGCGAATGGCTTTGTCTTGTTGTGTTTGTAAGTCGTAAAATCATTTACAGTCAGGCGCTGCTTCGCCGAGCATTTCTCAACTTAGCTTAACTAACATTGAGGGAAACTCACGTAGCGGCTGGGCTGAACATTAATGACACCTTTATTTTAATTAAAGCTTCATTACATGGCAAACACATAAAAAGAAAGAGACAATGATTCAAAGGTTTATCATAAAAACAATCGTGAATTTTTACACATAACATGAATACATTTTAGGCTTTCTGATTAAAGACATCTCAGTTTTACATTACGTATAAGTGTATAAGGATGGCTAGCACAATATCACTATTTTAAGCTAGTTACATGTATAAACGTGTGACCGTATTTCAAAATCAACATACACTTCGATTTTCAGACTCCATATTTAAACTTCAAGTTCTACAAAATAAATTAAATTCATATTTTAAAACAATAACATTATTTAAGGAGATGCGAAAGACAAAGCACAACACTTGTAAATAAGAGAAGACAGCATCCTAATAGTTGATAATTCATGCAAATGGGAAGTTTCATTTCAGTTACGTTCGTGGATAATAATAACACTTGACACTACCCAAATTCAATTTACAATTTGTCATGTTAAATAATGACCCAAAAGCACAAGACATGCATACATACTCGCGCATATCCTCGCACACGTACTATATATGGATTTATATGTATATGTAAAAGTCGGATTTAATCCACATCAGACACTTAAAAAGTGCGCAAACAAATATTAAACATTACAATACTCAAACTGCTTGACGTTTATGCCTTAGGCAAGGTGACTAATATTTTTATTATCTATGTATCAAAAAATTAAAGCAGAAGGAACATCGTTACTCGGTATTCTTTGGTATCTATGGACTTTGGAAGCTTAGCAATAATTTTCATTGCTTTTAAAGGCTTTTCAGGATTCTATCAGACATTTGCCACAGGAGCCTGCTTATTTTTGGAGGACAAGACCTGCTCAACTTGGTTAGGTAAGTTATCTTGTCTAAAGGTGTAGCCATTATGTCTCTCCTGAGATTTTATTCGACAAAATTTTCTCAGAAACTTCCTCCAGGAATCCAGAGTTTTCCCGGACCAAATCCAGAATCCGGATGTAATCCCGACCACCAAACACATGAAGTACTTGAGCATGAAGATCGAGTAGTCCGGTTTTATGTCAGGGGCATTGCAAGGGCAGTTATGTTTTTGTTCCCAGGCTTCCCGGAAGTGTTGTTCATAAACGTAACATCCGATTACCACCGTGGCTGGAACTGTATACAAAACCGAAAACACACCAATTCGAATCATCAACTTCTCCAGTTTGTCTACCTTGTCTTCGGATTGTTGTCGTATGACATTTCGAATTCGAAATAACTCTACAAATCCGGCCAACAAGAAACACGTTCCCAGAAAAAGGTACACACACAGTGGTGCTATTACGAAACCTCGGAGAAAAGACAAGTCTTGATTTCCTACGTAACAGATACCAGATACAGGGTCTCCGTCAATTCCATCCAGGGCTAGAACAGAAATTGTCTTAACAGCCGGCATTGTCCAGGCAACAACGTGGAAATATGAAGAATAACGGGTTATCGCTTCGTTTCCCCACTTCAGTCCTGCGGCTAGAAGCCAAGTTAGTGCCAGCATAACCCACCAAAGAGAGCTAGCCATACCAAAAAAATACACCAAAAGGAACACAATTGTGCAAGTGGCTGATCTTTCAGAGCTCGGATAAACAATAATAGGACCATCACAGGCAACTGCATCATGCCCCACCCCAATGCGAATCAAGTAACCAATTGAAACCATCAGATAGCAACCGGATAAGAAGATAATTGGACGCTCAGGGTATCGAAAACGCTTGACGTCAATTAAGAAGGTAGTAACTGTTATGCTTGTAGACAGGCAACATAACACAGCCCACAGTCCAAGCCATAGGTTAGCAAATTTATGTTCATCAATGGAATAAAAATTACCACGACAGGCTATTGCACAATTCACAACGCCACCTGTTTCTACCTTGTTGTAGTACTTTTTATTTTCATTGTCGGTCACGCTTACCATCGGGTAACGACACATGCATCCACACTTGTGATTCAATTGCGGGTTATAAGTGGTTTCTGGAACTTCAAAATCTATGTTGAATTTAGGATTTCTATTTAGTTGCACTGTTGTATCATCTTTTAACGGTTCCTGAGTCATTCCAATTGAGTTTTCATCTTTAATTGCAAAAATCGGGCGCTTTGGACTTTTTCCTTCCTGTTCACCCATACAGAGATTACTAGGATCATTGTATTTTGGAAAATTATGACAGTCAAGTCTTTCGGGCCACGTAAAGCCGTACTGTTGCATAATTGGTGCACAACCAGTTCGAGCACGCTCACAGACGGATCGACAGGCTGGGATAGAACCAGAGTAATCCGGCATGCATATAGGAGTGTAAACTGAACAGAGGAAAAACAATAGATCTCCAGAGCATTGAATCTCAACCAAAGGCCAGAATTGGTGTGCTTCTAGACCGGCTTCTTCCTGGGTGTCATGATAGAACTGATTAGGCATGGAGGTGTAGTTATATCCTACATCTTTACACATGGAGATTGTTATTTCTTCACACTCCTCAGAACTGGTGCCGCTTTCTTCAACATGTACTCCAGATGTAGTGACAGAAGCGAACAAGATCCAAATACTTATCAGTTTTGAGGAATCACCACACAGAATGGAAAGCAAATTCATGACTTCATTTCTAATGAAACACACACACATATATATATATATTTAGAAGTATTAAGAGTGGTACAGCTCTCAAAGTCAAATTGCTTGATGGAATTTTTTTTCTAATGTAGAATAATACACAGGATATTCATTAGGAATTTATTTTCAGTCATTAAAGCAGATATAAAATTAAAACAATTCACTTTCTTTTCCTAGTAAAAACCAGAACTACTGTAATTTAATATGATGAATCAAAGTTAAAGTTCACAAACAAAAGTATCAATATGGTCGTAGTGTAGTTTCATGGAATGATTGAGATATATCTGTTAGTTGTTAATGTAGTTTCACAGAACTTCTTGGAATTTAGATATTACCTGCTAACTTAGATTCATGGAACTTCTTGGAATTTATTTGTTACTTGTTAATGTAGCTTCATAGAACTTCTTGGAATATATCTATCACCTAGTAACGTAGCTTCACGGAACTTTTTGGTATTTATCTGTTAGTTGTTAGTGTAACTTCACAGAACTCCTTGGAATTTAGATATTACTTGCTACCTTAGATTCACGGAACTTCTTGGAATTTGTCTCTTAGTTGTTAATGTGGTTTCATAGAACTTCTTAGAATATATCCATTACCAGCTAACGTAGATTCACGGAATTCCTTGGAATTTAGATATTATAGCTAACGTAGATTCACGGAACCTATTGGAATGTATTTGTTAGCTGTTTATGTAGTTTCATAGAACTTTCTGGAATATATCTATTACCTGCTAACGTAGATTCACAGAACTCCTTGGAATTTATTTGTCAGTTGTTAATATAGCTTTATAGAACTCCTTGGAATTTAGATATTATCTGCTAACGTAGATTCACGGAATCTATTGTAATGTATTTGTTAGCTGTTTATGTAGCTTCATAGAACTTTCTGGAATACATCTATTAACTGCTAACGTAGATTCACGGATTTAGATATTATCTGCTAACGTAGATTCACGGAATCTATTGGAATGTATTTGTTAGCTGTTTATGTAGCTTCATAGAACTTCTATTACCTGCTAACGTAGCTTTACGGAACTCCTTGGAATGTATTTGTTACTTGCTAACTCATCTTTACTGTTTTTCTTGGTTCCTATTGAACTAGCTTCCAGAAGTTCCTTGGTTTGTAGTTGTTACCTGTTAAACTAGCTTCCAGAAGTTCCTTGGTTTGTAGTTGTTACCTGTTAAACTAGTTCCATGGAATTTCTCGGGATTAAGCTGTTACCTGCAAACAATACAAAATTTAATTTTCTTAGATAAAGAGGAAGATAATATATTCAGAAATAATACGTAGCTAGTTCATCTACGTCAAAGATGGAAAAGCAATAAAAAAATGGCATTGTTCCCCTCTGTGCCAAAATCATGATTTAACGAGCAGTCTGTGTAGCACTAAAAGAGTCGTAACTTCGCCACTAGAGCATTCGTAAAATGTCAATAAAAATTAGCACACGAGAGGATTCTTATTATACTGTCGGAGATGTAATTTTATGGATGGCGTGATCGTACAATAAAAATCTCTGTTTACCACGATATAAATCCACTAACATTTATTTAGTGGTTAAACTAATATGTTAGTCTGATAAAAAAACACACTAAAATTTGCATTGCTTGTATAAATACATCTTGTTAAATATTATTTCAAAACTTATAAAAGTTATTGTATTTTGATCTTATTATAAAATACAACGGTATATAACAAAAGAAAAAGTGCCTATCTTCCTATACAAATGGTAGGTCTAATTTAATTTGAAAGAAACTAACATATATAAGAGATCGAACATTTATTACCCTGGTATTAATCTGTCAGCCAATTTTATGATTAGATTCATTCGTGAAGTTAAAGAACAAGATAACTGTTATATATAACTACCCGATTGCTTATTAAACAGTGAATAATAGCTTTTAAAATAGCTAACATTTTGATATTGTTGAGTTGCTCATAAGAGCAGATAACAAATATCCATGGGTGATGCGTTTAAAATGTTTGCTTATGCGACAGAATCTGTTACAGAGTTTTAGAAATAGGTGGAAACTAAAAACAGTACTAAAAAGGATCATTTGTTATATAAATATGCCATAAATCGTTTGAATCTTAGAAAAGAAAATGAATGCTAAACAGCGATAAAAAATTACAGAGAAGTTTGTATACCGAATTATTTAAATTTGTTTACCCAGTGGCATATGATCGATATAAAATAATAGGATGTCGGAGATTTATACTTATTAATTAGGTCATATACGTTTATTATGAAAGTACTCACCAGCTATCGGTCTTCTGTACAAATTATTACTTCATACAGACACAGTTGGAGCCGATTCACAGTTTAGCCACTTGATACCACGCGGCTTTCTATATCGTTACTTTCTAACTGAAATGAGATAGTGCGAAATCTCATGAAATTCGGAAAAAATAGTAACAGTTTTTATGATACTATTTAGTTACATGTAAGAGCTTTCACAGTGAACCATAAACACTTCTTCACCTTGGCGCAAACGCTAGTAGCCCTCTAGTTACTCTTGTCCAACATGCCTTCATAGGTGTTACAGAACAAAAATCGATCTTAGCCTCCATCCTGCACGTGCAACGCCTTCTATAACCCTCGGCATGAATTGACTTGAGTCAAGAAAGAGAAAGATATGGAGGGAGTAAAGGAAGACACAGGCTTGTCAAAGTAAATTTTACACAAACACACACACACACATATATATTTCATAAATACTATTTGGAATAATTAAACTGTTGTTTCGCTGTGATACACGTTAGATTAGGCTTAACATTAAAAGTAGCGACCTCCATTGTCGTGAATATTTCGAAATAATCTCAGTTTCTTAAGAAATAATCTTATAAAAGGAAGTGAGAAATTTTAACAAGATATTTTTATGGTTTAATAACATGTAGTCAAATAGATGTTTTGTAAAATTTACGAGAAATGTATGGAACGAAAAAGTAAGTTTAGTTAGAATTCGCTTATTCTGAATAAAGTGCATTTCTTTAAAATCTTTGAACAAAATGAGACATACTCATACTAGAAATGTCTATATATTCGTAGTATGCATCTAACAATCAATATATTTATTCTTACAAAACACAATTCTTCTGTTTTATCTTATACTGGTTTTTTTGTTTGTTTGTTTATCATAGACTTCTGCGTGTCGGTTAAATTTTTCAGCTTAGAGGTAGATATAAGGCTCAGAACGTTTATAGTTGTTATACTGTTATATTTATTAATATAAATTTATTATGAAAATATACAAACCTCTTTTTAATGGGATCATTATTGTAGTAATGGTGAGCAGAATTTTATTGAATAATATAAAACAGAATTATATAGTGAAAGAAAAAACAAGTATCATATTTTACTACGCAGCAAAAAAAAATACTTGTTCTCATTAGAAGTCATTAATGAAACAGGAGATCAGGGTGTATTTGCATTAGATATAAGTTATTATTTATATGTATATATATATATTAAACTTGCAGTCAGTGCTTTGGCACAAATCATGTCTTGTATCAAGAAGGTAGCTCTAACCTCCGTGTCTTGTATCATGAAGGTGGCTCTTACCTTCGTGTCTTGTATTATGAAGGTGGCTCTTACCTCCGTGTCTTGTATCATGAAGGTGGCTCTTACTTCCGTGCCTTGCACTGCGAAAACAAGTCACGAAACCGTCACGTGATCTCGTAAGAGGGATAATCATGGCGGAGGGGTGTTCAACAGCTTCTTACAACATTATATTCTCTAACACAACTACTTCACTATTGGTTGAAAAGACTGGCTTAGAATTTCGTTTAATCTGTAAATAAAAATCCCTATGGCCAAATATACCAGCAACCCCTATCGATTACAACATATAGAATAAAAGAAGTGATAGTGGTTATAAAATCGAAACGGATCTTGTGGTATGGTTACAAAACCGGAACGGATCTCAGTAAGGGGTTATATTAATAACATAGTTTGCCTCTTAATAATGATAAAATGGTATACTTTTTTAGAGAATAACTGATGCTTAATCGCCTTGCAATTAGAAATCCTTATATGAAAGTAAGAATTTCTCAATACAGAAAATATTTTTTTCTTAATGTAAGTTATTAAACTTGTCACTCGAATGCGACTGAAAGTGATTCATGATAATCTTATAAAATTAAGATTTGTAGAAAGAACTTTTTTTAACGTCAGTTATTAAATTGATCACCCAACAATGACTGAAGGTGATTCATGGTAATCTTATAAAATTAAGATTTGTAGGAAGAACTTTTTTAACGTCAGTTATTAAACTGATCACCCAACAATGACTGAAGGTGATTCATGATAATCTTATAAAAGTAAGATTTGTAGAAAGAACTTTTTTTTTAACGTCAGTTATTAAACTGATCACCCAACAATGACTGAAAATGATTCATGGTAATCTTATAAAATTAAGATTTGTAGAAAGAGCTTTTTTTAACGTCAGTTATTAAACCGATCACCCAACAATGACTGAAGGTGATTCATGGTAATCTTATAAAATTAAGATTTGTAGAAAGAACTTTTTTAACGTCAGTTATTAAACTGATCACCCAACAATGACTGAAGGTGATTCATGGTAATCTTATGATACCAAAATGTATGGGAAAGACTTTTTTGTTATAGTCAGTTAGATTAGCATAAAATTCGGGACCTGCTGGAACAAAGCGCCAAATTATGCACAATTATATTTGGGGACATACAAATTATATCAGAAGGGCTGTCATTCTTATAGTTGTGATGCTTTAAGGCCCAGAAGAAACTCTTTGGGGTGTAAATGTTCGAAAAATCAACTTTCTGAGAAATTTGGTTTTAATTATAAGCATGATTCAACTCATGTTTCGGTTTTACATTAACGTATTCAATAATGTATGGTCTGCAAGCACATTGTCATCATCAGATGATATCTTGATTTAAGTTAAAAACAGTAATTGGACGCCAACTGGCATACAGTACAAAAAGAGAATCTCACAGAACACAA